AAAAAACTTAAAATATTTTTAAAATTTTCTATTCTGTCAATGGAATGTTAAAATAACCGTTTAAGAGTTCAATATCAGATTGATAAATATATATAAGATATATATAAATTACTTATGATTACAAGTCATATATTAAACATATAGATATATTATTTTTGATGTGCAAACGCAATGAATGTGCAAAGCTATACTATTGGAAAAATTTCTACCCTAGCGAGAGTCTGTTGTCTTACCGCGTTTATATCCTTTTGCAACTCCTCCGATTGTTTTTCGTGGACGACCTTTAGTTTCTCTTTTTCCCTATTCTGTATCATCTGAGCGACTTTGCGCTCCTCCATAAACTTTTTCGTGTTGTTCTGCTGTATCTCCCTGAGTTTGCGTTCCTTGTGCCCGCGTGTCTTCAAAGTCTTGTCATTCATTACTTCCCTCGCGCTCTCCACCGACTGTCTCGCCTGTCGTGCTGTTATTTCTTTCATCTCGCGATCGTGACGTGCGGTCTGCTGTTTCTGTTGCGCCAGCTGCGCGGTCTTGCACAATTTGCACAGCTGCGTCCGTCGCTCTTCTAAATGTCCATGGATCAGATCGCGTTCCTCCCGGCGCTGCCTGTCGGCGAGACGCGACCATTGGGTCGTCTGTTCAGAAACTGCACGGCGAACAATGGGGTCCCTCGAAAGTTCCGCTTTGCTAAAATTTTCATCACTTTTGTGTGTGTCTCTCTCTCTCTCTCTCTCTCTCTCTCTCTCTCTCTCTCTCTTATTTTATTTTATATTATTTTATAAAAATTTATTCTGCTATTATTTTAATCAACTATTTTCTTAATGTATATATTTAACTCTCAATTCTACGAACTTTAAATTGTATCAGTTCTATGTGCAAAAATAATTATATTTTAACCATTTTATTAATAATTTTCATTTTTTCGAAAAAAATCATATTTTAATTTTTTGTTTGATCCAAATTCAGTTTGCTATTATTATTTTAAATTTTTTCTACGCTATATTTTAAAATTGTAGAATTTTTTTTCTTCAAGTTTTCAATAATTCTGAAATATTTAATTTTAAATAGTAAATAAAAACTTTCAAATAAAATTTTTTTGTTGAAGGAAACCCATAAAAATTGCTTATCTTTTATAATTCTGTATAGAAGAAGAAATATATTTAATTAAGAGAAAGATATTTAATTTATTAATTAAGCAAATACTTTTATAAGAGTTGTTATCAAATATATAAAGAAAATTTAAAACAAATTTCAATTGTACAAAAATGACTAACTTTTTCCCCTTAAAAATCTTCTCTATTGCTACGCAATGTTGCTTCTGGACAGTGACTTTCTCCTTGTGATGCCTCTTCTTCAAAGACTCCAATTCTTTTTGTTGTTTTCGCAATACTTTTTGATAACCCTTTTCTTGTCTTAGAGTCTCGAGAGTGATTGAATCGAACTTCATTTCCTCTGTAAAAACAAAGTAAGTATAGATTCATCACTCATAGTTGGCAATTCTGTATTTTATCCGTATCTTATACCTCTTGGTTTCGCTGCCTCTTGGTGATGAGATAATACGTTATTTTTGTTATCCATGTTATTTTTACTGTCACTCTCTTCAATCCCCAGACCCCGCATTTTAGTTTGCGACATGCTTTCTGATTTTTTTAATGCTCGCGGCGCTGTCAAGGCGTTCATAAGTTCTAAAAAGATTATAAAAAGTTTTAAATATAATATTATATATAATTGATTAATATCATTAATACACACACACACACACACACACACACACACACACGCACACACGCACACACGCACACACATACACAATAGTTGCGTTCAGCAAATAAAGCAACTTTACAACTATTGTAAAATTCTTTAATATGATTAGTTCATACTTTTAAATCCAGTGAGGAACTAAGGGCAAGACCAATCATATTAAAGAATTTTATAACAGTTGCAAAGCTGCCTTTTCTGCTGAACGCAGCCAATATTTTATTTAGAATTTATTTTTTTATAATTGAGGGTTTTAAATAAAAGATAAACTTCATTAAATGATAGTATTAAGTAGAAAAAATGAGATATTTATATAAAATAATTCAATTTAACAAAATTAGCAGGAAATACATAATTTTGAACAAAATTATATATTTATATAATAATCTATTAAAATTATAATTATACAAATGCAAAAATAAATAGTAGCAGAGATTTATCATGCGACTAAAACATAGCCGATGTTGAACGTACCTTCAAAACCATCTGGCACATAGATTTTTATATCAATATTACAAAACAGCATAGGCAAAGACATAGGAAAGTTGGCCTCAGTTCGCAATGCAATGTGCCGATATCCAGCTTGCAAACCGTCCAAAGGAACGATTCTCTGTCCTAGCAGTTTGTTCGATTCATCGTATACTGCGAATCTCAAAGCGGCCAAATCTGGTAGGACGACTTTCCTGAAGAGGAAGGGCTCTTCATTGTAAACGGGGTTCAAACCGTTGGCAGGAACCACTCTTGTGCGAAATTCCTTGCGTATCGTATCGGTTGGTAGGCCATACATTTCAACTTCAACGTACGTCCCGACTTTTTTGTCGGATAAAAACTGACCAGCTATTACCTAT